CCTCTCGCCGCCCCCGAGCCTCTGGCCTATACCCCAGTTCTGTATGCACAAATAAATAAATCTTTAAAAAAAAATATTTATTGTAAGAATATAGGTGATGAAATAATTATGTTGTATTGAAGAATAGCCCTGAGAATTAAAAACATTTACATTTGCATATGAAGAGGGAATTCAGCAAGTGTGAGAAAACCACACAGGCCAAGGACATGAATAGTTACAGGGTATGTTGTGTCGCCTGTGTTGGAGATGTACACAGTGCTATGGGAGATGTTATGTATTTAGTTGACTCTAGGAAACTGGTCTGAGGATGGTATGATTGTGGTATATTAACCAAGAACCTAGAATTGCAGTAGGGAAAAATTTGCTAGTGTGTTAAGGGAGAAATTGGCTAATGCATCAAAGATGGATTAAATGAATGGGTAGAAACTGCTCCTCCAGAACTTGCTGGGACATCCTTTTGGATTAACATGACATTTCTCTTAGATCAGACCAAGGAGAAACAGGCAAGGTTTTAGCCATACATCCATACTCACATGAGGTGTAAAGAAGTGCATAAGTATATTTTTATTGCATTATATGCTTATGGGACATGTATTTTTTATGTTGCTAGATATTATAAACAGTGCAATAATATATATTGAAATGGTATTTTATAGTTACTGGTAGGTTGGTCAAATGAGCAATTGGAAGTAGAATTGGACTAGTTAAATTTGTGCTGTGTCTTGTTGGGGAGGGAACTGGGAAGCTAACATTGCATTTGTTGAACAACGCAGAGAAGTAAAAATGATAGTGAAATTAGACAATAGTGCTGTTTAACCATTCAGTGGAGAATTGTGAATATTTAGGTATAGGACAAAATTACTTTCCTTGAAAAGGGGAAGTGAGCTCCTCTTATAGAATGTACTTGACAATCACATTCCTTACTCTAAAGAATAAAAAGAACATGGATGTTTTCCTCCTTCAGTAAATCTGGGTTTGACTCAAAATTCTGCCATTAGGTAGAGTCTTAACTTGGGGTAGATAATAACTGCTTTGAGGCTCAAGTACTCCATCTACAAACTTCAGGGTTTTTCTTTTCCCCATATTTTTGTTACTGCATTTTTCATTTCAGAGTTTCACAATGAGCCTTGTGCATTTGCTATATAAGTGATAGCATCGAGAGACTTTACTCATGGTCCATCTTTTGCTTTAGGATGGGATCAATCTGATAAGTTTGTGAAGATCTACATTACCTTAACTGGAGTTCATCAAGTGGCCCCTGAGAATGTGCAGGTGCACTTCACAGAGAGGTGAGTTCTCGTCACAGGAGGAGGTTGCTCACTGAGTTAGTTATTGCTTTAATATGCCTCTTTGCTTTGCAGTTTCTAAAGTTCTTCTTAAATTTAGAATTATCCTTTGAAACATCTTCCCACCTGGGATAGCCAAGAGTGCATCCTAAAATAAAACCGAATACTTTTCAAAAAAACAGGAGGGCATATATTTCACATTCTCAGAAAGATAATGTGTTCACAATTGTGTTGTAGGTCATTTGATCTTTTGGTAAAGAATCTAAATGGGAAGAGTTACTCCATGGTTGTGAACAATCTCTTGAAACCCATTTCTGTGGAAGGCAGTTCAAAAAAAGTAAGTTTGCTTTTTTTTTTTTTTGGATCATAATACTGTGAAACTTCATTAAATTGAATCTGGCGGACTTAGAATCTGCCCTTTCTTAGAGGGATCAGCGAATCACGGCTGTTGCCTGCTTTGTAATTGAAGATAGCAGTGCTCATGGGGTGTGTGCGATCTGCTGTGGCCCTGAAACAGCAGTTGAGCGCTGTAACAGACCGTGTCACCCATGAAGCCTAAAATATAGGCTCTTTACACAAAAGTTTGTCAACTCCTGCTTTAACAGAATTTAAAATGTTGCAGTAAAATCATAAGGGAATGAACTTTTAAAATGCTTATGAGTCACCCTGCAATTTTAATTTCACTTTTGCTCATTTGATAGATGTTCACTTTGGCAGTTCACTTTCTCTCTCTCTACTAGTGACTTGCACATTGGGGATAATTATTTCATGAAATTAAAATGGTGTACAGAACTGAAATATATATATAAATTTCTCAAATTAATGGTAGTTACTAATAAGAGGGGTACTATGTGATTTTGATACATAAAAGGATTTTAGGCGCTGCCTAGCTGGAGTTTTGTAGAAGCTGTAAAAGTGAAATGTCATTTAAACTGTTCCTCATGCTTTTCACTAACTCAGGTAATCCCTTTTTTCTGTTTAAATGAGCTGGTATGTAGTTCTCATTCTGTTTGTTTTTATAGGATGATTAAAATAGTTTGTTGCTAGCTTGTTTCTCAGTGCTCCTTTCCTCTTCCAATGCCATAGTTGAAGGAAGCTACTAAAGACCTGTCAGAATAACACGGGTCATTCTTGCTCCTCCTGCTCTCACCTTCCGAAGTCCTTACCGTAGCCAGTATCAGCTTGTGTGATAGTTGTCTCCCTGGCTGATCCCTGTTGCTGTAACTTTCCTGCAGTCATCCAAAGCCACTCACTGATTTTTTTTTTTTTTAACACACCGATAACCATCCTATCCTGAAACCCTTTATCCTTGCTTGCCAAGTGCCTGAAATGGCCTTTTCTCTTGAATCTTGTGGGTGCTCAAATTTCACATTAGAAGCCTTTCTACATAAATTTTCTGATCCCAACCCCATTGACACCCTCATTGTTTGGATAGCACTTAGTACTTGAAAGTATTTCAGGTTTTGATGGTCTTCATTTTCCGTGGTCTCAGGATTATTCATGAAAATGCCTAAGATAGGTCTTGACTAATTGAGTATAAGTAACATCTCCTAAATATTCCTATTTCATGTTCTGAGCTACATCTTTTCTACTTTTCTTCCAGGTCAAGACTGATACAGTTCTGATTCTGTGTAGAAAGAAGGCAGAAAACACACGGTGGGACTACCTGACTCAGGTTGAAAAAGAATGCAAAGAGAAAGAGTGAGCCTATGTTCATTTCCTTAAGAATTTTAATGTATTCATTACTGGGATTACAGCTTTCTCTTTGTCTTTATGTATAATAGGGTAAATCTATGTCTGATTTGGCCATGTAATTCTTAATGCTCATTAACTATATCTGCGTTCACCTGTCAGAACCTACCTGAAAGTGGGCACATGTCCACCAGGTTGTTTTTGTTTTTTAAAGATTTTATTTATTTATGCTTACAGAACTGGGGTACAGGCCAGAGGTGTGGTGGGTAAGAGGATTCACCAGAGAGAGAGGGGAGCAGAATGGGCAGATTGGCAAAGTACACTGCTGAGGGGAGCAGTCAGAAGTCAGCCACACCATGTGGGCCAGCTCCCTGGCCAGGGATCTAACTGATGCTGCAGTGGGTTCAGAGAGCTTCATAATGAGTGTTAACCTATTGCATCACCAGGGAGAGCCCACCAGGTTGTTTTTTAAAGGAGGTTTTATAGGTTTGGTTGCACCCCACCAACCCTTTTCCCAGTGCAGATTAACCTTGCAAGTGGTGCCTCTATATAGAGTCTTTGTCCATTCCCAAAGATTTTATCTCACTAGTTTCAGGTAGGTGCAGATACCCAATTTGGTCTTTGAATTCCACAGAAGTTTCTGATGTTGTAAGTTTCACTATTGTTACTTTCATTTGGGATGTGGTCAGCTGGAATTAGACCCTATCTGCAACATTGACTTTAAATCCAAACTGAGTTACCTGAGTACAGGGCTCTGTCTTCCTCTTTATCCCCAGCATCCAGAACAGAACTTGGCATTTAGTAAATGAGGTGAATGAAGAACTAAATGTACAGTTAATTCAGCCAGTTTGGATGCTGTTTGAAGTGGAGGTGCTGACTACATTAAGGATAATGTTTCTTTAACCTACTAGGTCTCAGACTTAGGAGGACTTTTGTGAAAATATTTTTTTTACAGGTTATTTGAGGAAACATGTTAGTTAAAAGTTCAGATAATTCAGAAAAAGAAATGCTTTTCCCTGCTCAAAATCACCTGATATCCCACTATCCCTTACTGTAGACTAAGTGTGGACTGTAAATTGTATTGTGAACATTTGGAAAGACTGTCATACTCTTATCTCTGCCATTCCACTTCCTGGCAACATTACCTGATTTGTATCTTTCCATACTTAGTAGTAGTCACACAAACATTGTTGTGACTGTCATTTTTATATGTTACTGATTTTGTGTTTTCTTCTTGATAGAAAGCCCTCCTATGACACTGAAACAGATCCTAGTGAAGGATTGATGAATGTTCTAAAGAAAATCTATGAAGATGGAGATGATGATATGAAACGAACCATTAATAAAGCCTGGGTGGAATCAAGAGAGAAGCAAGCCAAAGGAGACTCAGAATTTTGAGATTTTGAAGTCCTTTTGGGAACTGTGATGTGGAAATACTGATGTTTCCACTTAGGAAATGTTGGTGAGCTGCACAGATGATTTGACAGTAACTATTTACATAGCCTTCTAAGTAAAGGCAGTGCATTCTCCATTACCTACTGGAGGATTTATTTAAATAAAATATGCTTATTACACACTTCCTCCAAATATCGTTTCCTCAGTACCTGTTCATTTTAAGAAAGGATCAATATTGCACTCTGGTCTGAAATGCAAAAAGCAAATCTTGCCTAATGAAAATGCTACAGTGTGTGTATTTTTGTTCAGCTAAGTGGTAGAAAACAAGTTTTTCCTTGCCTTGAAGTTCCTGACATCAGCTCCCACCAATGTAAGAATAATAAAACTAAACCCTGAATTTTGTATAAAATGCAAATTAGTACCCGTGCTTCAAGAATGCTGTACAGCAGTGGATCTCTTTTCTGTTAGCTTAAATAGTGCATATGTCATATCCTAATAATGCAGTCATACATGTTTCTCCCCATTAATATATTTGGTCATGAGTAAGTTGAAACTAAGTCAAAACTTGACCATAGATAAAACTATCTGCATAGTATCAATTATTAAGTTTTGCCATGGATCAAATGGACTTTCAAGAATAATAAGCATAAAGCAGAGATATATGTAAAAAAGCTTATCTAATCCTGTGTTCAATAAACTTAGATTTTTATTCAGTGGAGTAAGTTATTGTTTGTCCAGGAGTATGTCAGAAGTGTCATGCTCTCAGTGGGAATTGTTTATTTTGGAGAAAATTACCCCTCACAACAGAAATGAGAGTAAAATACCTATTATCTCCATTACTACATTATATTGGAATGAATGTGTTCTGAGCCCATTCCCAACTTTATGAGAAAAGTGTTAGTGGGTCCTTCCCCCACTCAAAGACCAGTTCTCAGACACTAAGAATTCAGTTCTGACACTACCTAGTTTAATCGTGTAAGACTGGAATGTGAGAGCATACAACTCTTTCAAGCATGATCTGTGTTACTCTTGAGAATCTCTTTACTTCCTTCAACTGGAATTGGTAGATGAAGGAAGAGGCAGTGAAAAATAAGCTAATCAATAAACTGTGTTTTAATACTTACCTTTAAGCTGCTGTATCATTCTGTGTAAACAGACAGCAGAATTGAATCTTCGCACACATACACATACACTATGCCAGCTCATTTAAGTTAAGCTGTAAAAAGGGATGATCTCAATTAATGGAGAGCATAAGTAATAGTTTAAAAGATGGTTCATTTTATAGCTTCTAACTTCAACTAGGCTAAGTGCTTAAGACCTTTTAAGTATTCAGTCAAATTAATAGGTAAGAACCTAAGTTAAGTCTGATATTCTAACCACTCACCTGTGACTAAATTATACTGCTAGGCTTTCTCAAATAGTGCACTGGCAAAAATTTGGAATGATAATTGCAAAATAATGAAAATTTCCAAATATTTATTAATAGGGGCCTTGCTGAATAAACTGGTGCATCCATACAGGGAGTTCTTAACAGCCACAAAATGAAATGAAGATTTTCTATATATTAACAGAAGACTCACCAAGATACAGTAAGTGGAAAAGCAAAGTGCAGAACATAGTTTATGGCATACTTTGCGTGAATATGCACACAGCTGTATTTGCTTATATTTAAACTAACTGAACTAAAAGCAAAACAAATGGTTACCATAAGGGAAAGGAAAGGATGGAAGCAGTACCTTTAAAGTTTAGACTTTAGATTCAATTTTAAATTAAACAGTTAAAATGCTAAATAAGGGGCCTCCCTGGAGGCACAGGGGTTAAAATCTTAGTGTTAACCAGCCAGTGCTAGCCACTGCAGCAGAGTTCAATCCTGATTCCCAGCCAGGGAGCTGACCCACTTGGCCCGCTGCTCCCTTCAGCAGCATATTTGGGTACATCTGCCTGTTCTGCTCCCCACTCTGGTGAATCCTCTCGCGTGGTCTCCAAACCCCCGTTCCTCTGGCTTATATCCCAGTTCTTGTGTGTACAAGTGAATAAAAATAACCCTAAAATTTGAAAACCAACCTAACATGCAACTTGAGAGCACAATGTTGACATTCCATTGGTAGTAAAATACAGGATAATGACAGATGTCACAGAAATCTTATAGAGCAAAAGGTATATTTTGAAACTTCCATGTATTTTTTTTTTTTTCAATTTTAAGGAGTAGGTTGATGTTGGGAGTTAGGATTTTTCTAAGTAAATTTACCATCATTTTTGTTTAAATATTCCTAGTAAAATGCCCATCAAAAGGACCTAAAAGCAATGATATTTCAGAATTCAATTGTAATAAGCACCATTAGAACTCAGATGTGATGTCAACATTTCCTATGAAAATGACTAGAGACCTTTGGAAAAAATCTCTAAGACAGGAAAGTAAGTCTGGCTTGAGCTCAGCATGGAAACAAGGGATTTCCACTAGTAATGGGACAGTTTGACTATCAAATTAGAATGTCTGGGTGGAAAGAAACATTAAATACACAAAGTGATGATGAAATGTGTTTTCCATTTGAAAGTTGCTAGAGCACCAACTCACTGAATATTTAGAGAATCACATTTGTGTGGTCTTCTATGGCAAGAAATCTATTTTAGGGAAACAAACTGTTAATAAAGGTAAGCTCTGTAGAAAATGTCAATGCAGGACAATGTTGGGATTTAGAAAATAACCTTTGCAACCTTTATTGCAAATAGATGAGGGTAACAGTCTGATCTAGGTAATGATACACTAATCATTAGTTGATAGGTTAATGAACAGTGCAGGGATCCCTCACCCCAATCCAACCCTAAAGTATCACAGTTGAATGAGATGATGTAATAAACCAGAACACATGACACACTTGTAAAAACAACCTGAATCTAGTCAAGCCTCTGGATGTAACTACCAGTTGATAGGAACAGGAGCAAGGTAAAGGATACATGAAGCAGCAAACAACCTAAGGGACTCTCCAGCATAAGTCACACTTGGTTTCTCCAACAAATGAGTGACAAAAAAAGGGGAGTGAGACACAGCAACCAAGTGACCCCTGAACAGTCCTTAAAGCCTGGCATAAATGCCCCAAAACTTAACTACTATACTACTAGCCTGCTGTAGACTGGGAGCTTTATTGGTAACCAGTGAACATGTATGTTGTATGGTATATGTTCTATACAGAAAAAAAAATTTAAAAATCATAAGAGAAAGTGCACTTAGTACTAAGTACCTTAGGGTGGGCTTTATCTGTTCACAAGAATATTGGTGTGTAAGTGGACTAAGGCAGTTTAAATCTTTGTTATTCATGGGTCAGCTACATATGGCTCATCCTTGGACCTTTATTCATTCAAACAAAAGAAATGGGGGTTGTTCTACCTGGGGTGTGTCAGAAGTATGCAGATTTGATGTAAGAATTGTTACTAGTTAAGATCATAGCTAGAGTACTCTTATTTGGAACGTTATAAATTTAGGGACTATGAAGTCAAGGTATATATGGTAATGCCTTCTCAACTTTCCCTCATCCTGAGTTCCAGACTTCCTCAGGCATCTCAAACCTTGCGTAACTGAAACTGGTACTCATACTTTTTTAAAACTCACTCTTTTCCTACATACTTGAATGCTAGCTGTCTTCCACATTGTTCTAGTTGCCCACTGCAGAAATCCGAGTCTTTATTTCGTGGATATTTTCTTTAAATATTACACCTTAAAACTGTTGCTCGTATCTCTCACCTCCTTTTTAACACCACAACTTTTCAAGGCCTCAACTATTTCACAATTAGGACATCCTCCTAACTGATGATCTTGCCGGCAGCCTTTTATTCTCATGGGTCTCACACAGCTGTCCATTATCTGGAGGAAATGGATGACCTTAGTCCCTTGTTTAAAACAGACCAATAGCTGGCATTTAAATAAGTCTTTTTAAATTTTTTATTTTTATATCTTTTTACATTATTGTTCATTTTAACTTTTTTTTACCCTTCCTAGAAAAATTAAGTCTTAACTCTCATGGTATGTGACATCTTCCACCAGACAACCCTGGTCTTGGACTGCAGGGTTCTGATATCAGTGGCTAACCTCATGGATGCTTTTATGTCTGCTTCCGCTGATCGATCTGCAAAGACCTTGCTGCCTCCAAGTTTAATAGTTCCCCACGTTATGTAGGGACTTGCTTCTCTGTGTACATTTTTATCACAGAGCTCATACCAAGTTACTGCATGAGACAACCCTTTACTGCTTGGACTTATTTCTGTTACAGATGAAATGAACTTGAACACAGACTTTGGGTTCCTGGACGCAATTCTAACATGAGTGTGTAGTGACTTCACACAACAAGCACCTGTGGGGAATTCTGACACCATCTACTCAGAGCATGGCCTCAGATTCCACAGGGTAAGGCATCAGAGTCCCAATACCACCCTCCATTTTGGACACCAGTCACAAGCTCCAGGCTGCACCTGGACTTTGGAATCACTGGCTATGCATCAGAGGTTTGCAGAAAACTCACCTCAGGCTCAATTTGCTTGAGTGGTTCACAATTCAGAAAACCCATTTAATTGCTAGATCCTTCATTTGTCACAAAGATAACTCAGGAAGAGCTAGGTAGAAGAGTTTTCATGTCCTCTCCAGGGGCAACGTTCTCCTCAGATCTTTAACCCCCCTTTTAAATCTAGTTCTGTTGGAATAGTATTTCAGAATCATGAAAAAGCTCCTTTTGGGCTTTTAAGGAGGCTGCATTACCTAGGCATTGATAACTCATTGGCTACAAGCAACTGAACTCAATTTTTCCAGCCTCTCCCTGAAGTTGAGGGCTGGGGGTAAGGGTTATTGCTTAAACTCCAAACTTCTAAACAATGGTTTCCCTGGCAACCAGCCCCCCACCTCAGGAGTTTTTCAAAATGTGACTCATTAGCATAATTGACAATTCTTAATCTCATTGTCAGGAGTTCCCAAGGCTTTTGAGAGCTGACAGCCAGGAACTGGATGAAAAACAAAAATGCAGGAGAAACACACTTTGTGACCTGAATGAGCAATAAGTCATAATGTTTTCAATACTACTCCAACAAAAGCTAGATAGATTTTCAGGGGCTGAAAGAGACATATTGTGTACTAAGGGCCCCCCGAAGATGGAACAAGAAAACACTTGGGAGTTCTACCTTGTTTAGAAATCACTAAAAAAAAGTTGAGCATTAGACAATCTAGAACATCAGCTTTACCTTCCAATATATTGCCTTTCTAACAAACTGTGACATGAGCTTTGCAGCTCAGTAAACCAGCACTGTATGAAAAATTGCCCCAGATGGCTACGTGTCAAGTACATAGTTGTATCGACTATAATAGTGCTTTTTGAAATAATGCCTTATAAAACTACAGGAACTCTTGTATGTTGCTAAAAGATTAAACCTGAAGGAAAAGATAAGCATACAGAGCACATTTTCACAGAAAATACTTTTTATTGTTCTCTGCACCAGGCTTGGGAACAGTATGTTTAATCCATTAAGTCTAGCTTCACTGTCAGACCTCATTGACAAAATGGAGCATCTCAATTTCTTCATTTAAAATTTAAAAGCAATTTTTAGACAGCATCAAGTAGATCAGACTCTTGTACTGACCCCCTACAAAAATTAGGATTTTGTCTGTTAGAAAGTCTCTTCTCACCAGAACCAACTTCCCTGCAAATTTCTGGAGCTGATTACCACATTGCTCGCTGGACCCCAGACAGTTGTCCATGGTCAGCCAAGTGACGGAAGACGATGCGACTAAGCCTCCAGCGCCGTTTCACACCTCGCGGACGGGACGTCATAACACACCGATTTCTGATTCTAACTGGGCAGCTATCCCGGGGGAGGGCAGCAATTTCTTCATCAGCCACTTCCTAAGGAAGTCACAATGTTATTTCACAGTTCATGCATGTTTACTCTAGATGCTTAAATCAATGCTTAAAGGAAGAAAAAAGGGCTGGTTGGTTTCACTGTTGTAGCCATAGTTTGACCAAAGATCTTAGACACAATTAGGTAAAAACAGACCAGAAATTTTGGGTAGAACAGACCTGAAAAAAATGATAAATGTTTGACATGTTCTCAGTATGATTTTTTTTTAAAGATTTATGTATACAGGACTGGGGTACAGGCCAGAGGTGTAGTGGTAGTGAGAGGTTTCACCAGAGACAGAGTGGGGAGCAGAGCAGGCAGATCGATGAAGTACACTGCTGAGGGGAGCAGTGGGCGGGTCAGCAGAGGTCTGCCACACCATGTGGGTCACCTCTGGGGCGGGGATGGAACTCATGCTGAAGTGACTTTAGCTTCTTAGTGCTGTGCTTTAACCCGCTGCGCCACCAGTGAGGGCCCCTCAGTATGATTTTTAAACATAAAAACAATATACATAAAAATCTACAAACCATACAATAAAAATCAGTAGAGTTTCATAAATGCAGCACACCTAGGTAAGCCAACAAACATTACCAGCACCCATGGCCTATCTGGGCCTCCTTCCAATCACTGAGCTGGCCAATAGCTACCCTGATTGCTAATGCCACAGGAAAGTTTATCCTGCTTTGAATTTTATAAAGGTAACCACAGAGTATGTACTCTTCTTTATTCATTTGTCTTTGGCTTCCTTTATTCAATAACATGGGGAAAGATCTTTCATATTGTATGTCTTATAATTTATACGTTCTCATTGGTGGTTTTTGTGAACCATAATTCATTCATACATCCCTCAGCTGATGAACATCTGGGTGGTTTCTGGTTTAGGGGCTGTTACCAATAGTGCTCCGATAAATATTCTTAAGTCTTTTGGAAAATACGTGAGTACATTTCTGTTGTCTTACCTTATGACTTTTTCCAGCTTCATTGAAATTTAACTGATATACATGACTTGATTAATGCACATACTGCAAATTTTTGTCACAATAAGGTTAGTTAACACTTCTGTTACCTCACTTCATTACTATGTGAAGTGTGTGTATGTGGTTGGAACACTTAAGATGTACTTTCTTAACTTTTAAGCTTATACTACAGTATGTATTATTACTACTGCCACTTAGCTGTATATGAGATCCCCAGGACTTAATCTTACAACTGGAAGTTGTTACCTTTGACCATCATCTCCCATTTCTTCCACCTCCAGTAACCACCATTCTACTTTGTATTCGTAGTAGTTCAGCTTTGTAGACTCCATGTATAAGTGAGATCACATTTGTCTTTCTCTTACTTCATTTAGCTTAATGCCCCCAAGTTCATCCACAGTGTTGCAAAAGGCAAGATTTCCTTCTTTTCTAAACTTTTCTGTTGTTTCCTTCTTTTCTAAAGTTTTTCTGTTCTTTTCTGCTGATTGTCTCTCTCTCTACCTCACATTTTCATACTTCACATTTTCATTGAATGAATATCACTCATTCAATTCATGCAGCTTAAATCTCGTTGTTGGCTATTGTGAATAATGGTGCAATGAACACAAGTATGCTGGTACCTCTGTAATATGTTCACATATACACAAAAGTAGAATTGCTGGATGATACACAGTCATTCTAGTTTATATTTCTGGATGACTCCATACTGTTTCCATAGTGACTGTACCATGTAACATTCCCACCAATAGTGCTCAAGCATTCCCTTTTCTCTTCACTGTGGAAATAAATAGAAGACACAAAGAGATGGACAGCTATCCACGCTTACGGATTAGAAGAATTAACACTATAAAATAGCTGTTACCTAAAGCAACATACAGATTCAGTACCATCCCTCTCAAAATGCCAATGGCACCCTTCACAAAACTAGAACAAAAAAATCATGAAATTTATTGGAA